CATCTGACTTTTTTTTTGACGCCGTCGACGGATTCCGTCGATTTGGCAAATTTGCAATCGACGGACCGTCGACGGAGCACCGACGGCGTCGACGGAAAGTTCCGGGGTGCCCAACTTCCCGTCGACGGAGCAAAAATTTGACGGAACTCCGTTAGTGGCACTGCCGCGCGCGGCGCCAGTACTTGCGGCCGCGGCAGCACTGCCGCGCCAGCACCATGTGCACAGCAATGCCGCGCCAGTTCCACAACCAGATCTACTCGTTGGCCAAGTGGCATGGCCGCCCCAGCGGAGAACCAGCAGAATGCTGCATCCCAGCAAATGCAAGACCCAATTGTGCAGGTCCAAGAGCCAGATCAGGGTAAAGATTCCCAGTCTGTGGCGTCAAACTTGGATGGAGCTGCCAATGCGGCCAAAGGCAAAAGGAAGAGGGTTGCAAAAGGGAAAAAAAATGTAGGTGAAGAAGGCAATCAGGAGCCTGCTTTCAAGTGGACCGACAATGGCATTGAAGCTTTGATTGACGCCTGGGGACGGAGGTATGCACGTCTGAAAGGTGGAAACTTTACAGTCCACCATTGGGGGGGCGTTGCTGAAGATGTGAGTGCCTTAAGCGATTGTCAGGTCACAGCCCAGCAATGCCAAGACAAGCTGGACGCACTCAAAAGGAAACACAAGAAAGCAAAAGAGGATAAGGGGAAAACAGGGTCCGACGGGAAGGTGGCCAAAGGGTGGAAGTGGTTTGATCCTATGGACGACGTGATCGCAGGTCGGGCAAAGTCTGCGGGTGTCCCCGGTGCTGTGGATGCAGGCGTGCCAAAAGTCCACGCGGAGAAAGTGCAGATCAACTCGGACGATGAGGGGGACCAGGAGGAAGAGAACGGGGAAGACATCCCGGAGAGAGTGCGCTCCGGCGAGCCGGAGCAGGATGATTGGGAGGCAGAAGATGAGCGTCCGCAGAAGGATGGACCAGAGGCAAATGCAAAGGGCAAAGTCTCCGCTGGCAGGACCGCAGGGCGCAAGAGCAGTTTTGGCAAAGAGGAGGGCTCCGTATCAAGCCCCCGCAGCAAAGCAGCCAGTCTGCCTGGCGTGTCGGGGCAGCCTGTGGGCGGAACTGGCGGGAGGAAAGGACGCAAGTCAGGTGATGGGAGCCCACTTGGGAAGCTAGCTGGAGTGATGGGCAAGTTCACCGACGCAATGACACAGATCGAGCAAAGCCGGGGAGCAAGAGAGGAGAAGCGGCACCTGGATACGTTG